TTACCATCGGTTGCCCCGAATTGACGGCACCTCTGAGTGCATACAAGCAATTGTAATGATTCTCGGAGTGATGTCTTCGGCAGTTTGTTCACAAATCTGCACAAGTTTTGAAAGAAACCTAAATAATAGAACATTTAATTAAATTTCAAATCATTTAATAAAATATAAATACCGATTGGGTTGACTGGAAGAGTGACCGGTTGTACAGTTGTGGGAGTTATGCCAGTTGTGGCCACATTGGGTACAATCGGCACAATCGGCACATTAATGGGCATAACTTGTTGACCGAATACATTAATTTCATTCATTATGAATACAGTAAATACAATCAGTATAACTGATATTGATTTCATTTTCACTGTTTTTTGTAATAATTGTTAGAACTTAAAGAATGGTAAAAATTCTGATTGACTTGTATTGAATCAATTCTTGTGACTTTTATACTATCGTTTGTTAAACTTTCTGTTGCCATGAATTCTGTATTTGAAATTAAACCGGAGTTTATTTTATGGGAACTTATTATTTATGTTTAATTGCGGACCTTTAAAAGTGTCATATTTTTATAACTAATTACAATATAATTTAGTTTAATATCTAAAACAAGCAATTATTTGAAATTAATGAATGATTGAATTGATGAAAACGAGAATATATTTATTGTTTGCATTATTTTTGCATAATTAATAAAAGCATCATTTAATTTGTTCTCGTTGTTACGCTTCTATAACACAATTACCACAAATTCAAACCAAATGTTTTGTTTTTAATTGTAACCCACAGGATATAAAAAATAATATGTTACATGTTACATTTTTATTAGTTAAATTATTATTTATTTAAAGAATTATTTTTTTTGTAATAACTAAATTAATAATTATTATTAAATCTCTTTGTGAAATATTGTAAATCAATATTTGTAAAAATTGTGTTATTTAAGAGCAGTATATTTTAATAGCTAACAGTTAGAGATAATTATTGTTTTGTAAAAATATTGTGTATTAAATACAGTAGAGCGCTTTTTCGCCCGTTAACACAATATTCTTATGTCAAATTAAATGCTGAGTTTGAATATGAAATTTAAAATATTCTATCTCAAATAATTGTTGACTTATTTTTAAAACATTTATGTCGAAAATTTTAGTTACTTAATAATATCCAATTGTGTCATTTTCAACCAATTCGACTTTTAAATGTTAAACTTTAATTAACTTGAAAATTATTTGAAATAAACAATTTTTAATTATATAGTTTTACAGTTATGTCAACTCAGGAGTTTTCCTCAGCGTTTTATTTTACACGTCGACGGCTCGACGGCCTGACGGGTCAAAGTGCTCTCCAGTTCACTGAATTTGGGTTCAATCAATCAATCAAAAGAACAATCATTTAAAATCTAAAAATTTATAACTTTATTTAAAATCAAACTTTGGTCCCAAAAAACATACATTATTAACAATCAATATATTCTACAAAACAATTTGTGATAGAAATGACTTGTTTTTGATTTGTCAAACGACTAGTAAATAATAAAAATATAAACATTAAGCAACAAAAAACTCTATGTTATTGTATTAGTACTAAAATAAATAAAAGATCACATCTTTGGGTCATTAAAACAAATTTATGCTTTTTATATAACAAATATTATGTTTTCTTTCGTCTATGAATGGGTGACTTTGTGGGAGATTTAAGCGCCGACTTATCCACTCCTAAAAACTTGTACAGATATGGCGGCCAATTGTTGGCCTTATTCTCTGATTCAGGAATTCGAGTGGACTTTGAGTGAAGTTTTTGAAATATTTGGTCGAAATGGTTGTTAGGGAACAACTCTTGAAGAATGCCTTCAAACAGGACTAAAACCAGTCTTCGGTTGAGGTTTTCGTGTTGAAACATCTCGAAGACACACATTAATCCTTTACGACTCGTCTCACTGCCTATAATGCGCTTCAAGTCATCTAAAAATTGCAATTCATGTGAAACTTATTCATTAGTAATGAATCATTATTACGATTACAATGAAAGCAAATTTAATAGCTTTTAATCAATAGATACTTTACCTGAAAGACTTGTTAATAACAACATTTTTGCGGCAACTCTTGTACGCATTTTAGTGCTCTGACTCCGGGCTGGAAGTGGTTGAGCCAACTGTCCGTTTGGCCAAAACGAATTCCTATTACCAATACAGACGTATAATTACTTTTAACTAAATCTATTTAAACGCTTAATAATTACTTAAAAGCTTTGATGTAATCGGCGATCGACGGAGAGTTTGTCAAGTCCTCGACGTAATCAATGATTTTCTTGTTGATGGCGTCTCCATATGTCATATGAATGATTTGTCTCAAGAATGTGACAATTCTTCGCCGAAGCCATAAGTTTTTATTCTTCAAATCAAACACTTCGTCCATTAATAATAACATAATTCTTAGCGGAATATTATCCTCGCTATCAATGTCTAGATTTGCGGACACTTTTAAGCTCTCGATTGGAGTCATTGTTTGCAACTTTGGATTAGTATTTTGTGAATCGTTTTGAAAATTTAATCTAAAACTACTTTTAGAGGTGTGAAGAGATTGCGTTGAATTGGGCGCCGGGACTGAACCCAATCGACTCAGTCGTTGTAAACCGTCCAATAGATTACCCGAACTATTCTTCATCACATTTCCCACATTCATAACCGATGTCTTCAATGGATTAAAAATTGAATTTTGAACTTTTTTCGAGAACTGAAACTTTTCTTTTTCATAATTTCCGGGTCTGAAAAAGTTCAGCACTTGTTCTCTAAGATCTGATCTCGTATTAGAACTCTTAAGTAATTGATTTAAGTATGTGTTCAACAAATGTCTTCGCTGTTCAACAAAGTCTTTATTCATATTATTAAAAGTTCTCTTTCCTGGAAGTGTTAGACTCTTTAGATTTGGGAATTTGTCGGTAATATTCTGATGGAATGCATGGAAATCGGAATAACGCCTCAAAATAACCCACTTTTCTTCGGGCGAATTAATAGTCTTTTTGGTAACATTTATGACATAAGCGGCGTAAGCGTTGCCGAACTCTCTAACCACTCCTGTTTTGATTATCTCAGCGCTCACTTCAATGTCTTCGCTCACGTGTAATGTGGTGTTAGAAGTGCTGTAACCAGAAGTGGTTGAGTTTGAATTACCCGAACCATCACTTGTGATGGAAATGTTATCAGATGTGAGAATAATGTCTTCTAATGAATTAAGACTATCGCAGTCGTCAAATGATATCGAATTGCTGTCGTTGTCATCACATTTGGCCAAAGGTTCACAATCTTCTTCTTGTTTGCCGTTGAGATCTTTGAGTAAATCGAGTTCTGCTAATAGTTTCACGTAATGATTGCTTTTCTTGAAGGCGGCGAAGAACTGTTCGCTATTCATCATAATGTCATAGACCTGATGGTGTGCCGAATCAAACCAATTCTCCGACAACTTTTCGGTCATAATTCTCGAGTGAATGTTCTTACAAATGGTTTCCTCTAACTTCAGTTTATGCGAAGCCTTTTCAGACAGATATGTGTCGTAGATATTAATGGCCGCCTCTTTAAGACTATCCAAATGCACGCAATTGTTTGCATTGCATTTTCCCATTTTTATCAGTTCTGCTTCTGATATCTGTTGTTCAGCAGACACTTTGAATCCCTCGACATTCAAATAGAAGTAGACGTATCCCTGAGCGCCGATACTCGACATAAATTCAATGAAATATGAGAGACCGATATTGTTCTTCAACACCACATCAAATGGCAGTGAAAATAGTTTGGTATTATTCCAATCAATTTGCTATAAACACAAACACATCAATATTTATATTATTGTCCGCAAGAATCTCATACAAAGCACTAGAAGTACATACCGTTGGAATGCCATTCGAGTCGGAGTCAAAACTTCCCTCGTTTATAGACTTGAGACGACTTTCAATTAAATCTTTCACAAATAAAAGACTGCTTAACTGCTGCTTAATTTCAAAGTCATCGTCTCCTCCGGTGTCCTAACGGTTAGAAATAATATTAATGTTAAACCTCTTTGACGATCAGTTTATATATTTTTTGAGACGATCAGCATTTATGGCTAATATTATAGCATAGTTTTTTAGGGTGACCATACGACTTCAATTTAGAGGATCGCTTATTTAATTTACATTTAACATGACAGTGTTAATGTAACTAGTTCTGTCATATAACACCTTACATTACAGTTATATGACATGTAAATTTTAATATAAAAATTTTATATTACAAAAAGTGTAATATAGCTCTGGCGCCATCTATTTATTAGGCAATTATGATATTGTAATTAAGACTATTCTTTTAAATGTTACTTGAAACACAATTAAAAGTGTGTTTCGATAATCTATTAGTAAAACAAGTGGTGATTTTATTGTGAATTTAGCTATGATTTCTAATTCTATAAATTCAAGCAAAATGTTTATTTTCTATATTACACTCTGTGGCGTTATATGACTTTAATATGTAATATAAAAATCTATATATGTATTATACATCACTACACAGAACTCCTTAGACAGCCTTTTCAATTATGCATTACGAATAAACATGCGATAACTTTCCTATCTAATAAAAATATACATTGCATAACATAAAATGAATTAAAATAATTTTATGTTTTGTGAATCATCTGAAAGACTAATTAATTGTCAACAGTTTATAAATTCTATTACTAAAAACATTTCAATTGTTATCTATATTTTCAAAGTATGCTTTTTGGTCACCCTAAGTGTCTGCTAAATTGGGACGTGCCATAAATGACGGCCGCCTAAAAAAATATATAAACTGATCGTCAAAGAGGTTTATATAAACTCAAATCTAANTTACATTTAATAAAAACTGAATATTAATTGTTTGCTAACACTGTTTGAGTGAAAAATTGCTAATTTTATGACAAAAATTGTAATTTTATTGATTTTGAGTGAATGCAAAATTGCAAGATTTCCGTATCGCTAGCATTATATATACGATATACTACTGGCCTATCACTACATGTTATGTGCAATATATCACAGTATATAGCATTGCAATGCATTGTAAAGTATTGTATTGCTATTATGTAAAGCAATAAAATATATTTTCGCTATTTTTATTATGTCTATCGTATATACTGTGTACTGGAATATGCATTATGCAAATTACGCTTGCAACAATTGCACAACAATCATCATGATAATGGTAATATGGTTGGAATGGCAATGGTGCATGGTGGTGTACAAATGTACGACAATGGTTGAGCACATGATGGTAATTGCGATAATGGGGTATACCTTTTGAAGTGGTCAATGATCCTGTCCTCGCGTATAGTGTCGGGCAAATTGCCGACCCATAGATGTCTGGTCTCTCTCACCATTATTACCGTGAATGTCTGTATCCAGTATTTGCATCACACAATCCACACAATCAGCCCATCATAGATTCAAATATACAACACGAGAGATATATAGAGTGGTGGCGATGATGACGAGGGTGATTTTTGTTGCAAACAATATATATATATTTGTATATGCGATAACAATTGGTGAACACTATGGTAAAAAACAACACTAAACACCACACACTAACCGCACGCACACAATATGCCGTACGTGTGAATATAATATATCAATTATATATGTATGGCATATATCATATACACCGATATATTCGAGATTAACTTAATATATATGAATATTTGAGTGCGTGAGGCGATTGATCGAGATATACCATCCGAGTAATGTATATTCATCCATGTTTGTTAGTTTCCCATATCATAGTCGCATAGTATATATCGTATCCATTTATATCCCGATCAGTTATGGTGTGGTGTATATATGTGTGGCTCAATTAATCCGATACACAATTAAAACCGAATGCACCTTGATGAGAATATTAATTAATATTAATAATATTATTGTTATCCATTCACATAATACACACACACTATATATATATAATATATATACGTATATATAGTAGGTTTACTATACGTATATATATATATATACAGTACAAGCAATGATAATACAGTGTATGTATATATATAATGGTGTGTTTAGTCCGCTGTGTATATAGACTGGCAGCGAATACTATACATAAAATGGCATTGAATCAGGTTTTGCCTGCGCTCTACGCTGGCTGCAGCCCCTCAACCCCAGTGAACGGGCATGGTACATTCTCACTATTTAGGTAGGTTCCCATATATCAGGCAATATTACAAAAACAGTGGTGGGGTGAACGTGTTGGTGCATAGGTTGCGTGTTTGTGAGCATTGTACCATGCGCACTTACAGCGCCCCATAGTGACTACCATAATTAATTTTCCATAAGGGTAGAACAAGTGTACCCAATATGGCCGATTCCGCTAAGGGTACGTTTGATGTACCCCTGGGGGGGACTGCAGGGTATGTACCCTCTGGTTGTTTTGGGTGCTAATAGAGGGAAGCCCTGTCTGTTTGGCTGTGTTTCGTATTGTCTGCTGATATACTGCCAGCTGTTTATAGTCGGAGGCATTAAATCATTTTAATGAATGTGGTTTTCACTATTAAATGTACTGTAAAATGTTATAGTTCAATTTTGTACGTATATAACGTGTGCAGTTTTATTGCTTTTTCAATACCCTGTCAACCCTAATGCATTTGGTTCATGCAATATGTTGCCCCCTTTGTGCCCCCAATCGTTATAACGTTATCAGTGAATGACTCGAAAGAAACTAAAACAAAACAATTGATTGTTTATAAAAAATAAATCCGAAATTTTTATCATGTTTTATGGTTTTAATTATGATTTAAACATATTATATAACTTTTATAATTGTATGAATTTATTATAATAATAACTGTATTAAATCAATAATCACCATAGTCAATTGTGATCATTTTGTGTATTGGTTTTAATTATCATTATTTTAATTACCATAAGTATTTATAAATTATTTACTTTTAAACATGTACAATTGATATTTTTAATTAATCATGATCTATTTTCATTTAATAATAATGCACTTTTTATATCTGATTTGCACCAGGGTCATTACTTCCCGTATTACTACTAATGGTAGCCTCAGATATAGTGCTATGTCTTGGGATCAGCTCTGATATGGCGTGACATGATATGTGCCAACAGCTGGTGATCGCCTCTCAACACCATTAGGCCATTGTATTGTCAAAAGACAACACATATTACCAGATATTAGTGTCTAAAACATCGCATCCCAAGAGAAGTCGTTAAACAAGAGGTTAGCCGTCAAAAGTGGTCACCAATTACTGGATCCGCAAGAGTTTTGATCGATCGGGTGCTTAAAACAGAGGGACACCAGTATTACCCGCGATAGAGGGATACCAATACATCAGCCGATGGATGACATGAGTGGCCTCAACGGCAACGGCGACGCCTATCGAGTGACACTGGGGTCGAGCGAGTCGTGGACCGATGACCTCCCGATATGCGTCCAGACGGGCGTCGGGTCGCAGAGCAATCAGATGTATCGACGCGATGGCTCGCGGCAAGAGTTTCACGCGTGCGAAGACAAGTCGTTTCACTTTTGTGTCAACAAACAGACCTACTTTTACGGCCTGTTCGACGGTCACGGGGGGCACAACGCGGCCAACTTTTTGGTCCAACACTTGCCCGCAGAGGTCCTATTGGGACAGTTGACCGATCGGCTGACCGACTCAGACGTGCATCAGTTGATACAAACGGCGTTCAATTCGGTCGAAAGGGAGTACTTCCAGTCCATTGACAATCAAGTGGCCGAAAAGGCGTCGCTTGAGCTTCAGATACAGGGAATGTCACAGTCGGCGGCCTATCAGATGTACCCCGAAGTTGTGGATCGGCTGAAGACCGTAACGGCGGAAGTGGCCTGCGGTACGGCCGCTCTGATCGCACTTGTCTACTGTAATCGACTACACGTGGCCAACGTTGGCGACTCGAAGGCCATTCTATGCAAAATGGATACATCTGGCGGTTACACCGCTATCCAGTTGTCCACCGATCACGACCTGCTCAACGATCACGAGTTGTCGCGTTTGTCATCGCTGGGAGTGGACGTCGAACATCTGGGACAGCGCCAGAAGATCGGGAACGTGTCGATCACCCGTTGCATCGGTAACTATCTGGTGAAAGGCGCGTATCAAGAGTTTCCCGATTTGGTGACCGCCAAAGACGACCCCGTGATCGCCGATCCGGCCATCAAATCGATGGTAATCGACGACTCGTTCCAATTCCTGATACTGGCCTCCGGAGCGCTGTTCCGCGCTCTGGAGGACGCGACCGACACGCGTCAGGTGAACAGTGAGATCGTGCGAATGGTCGCCGAAGAGTTTCAGACCCAAAACACGTTGACAGGTGTGGCGCAGGCCGTCATCAATAAGATTTGTCGTCTACATCAGGACCAGTTCCTCGACCGCCGCAACGACCCCACACTTCCCCAGTCGTGCCGACAGATCGAAGACCTGACACTAATGGTCCGTAACTTCAATCACCCACTCGTCAAAGGCATGTCCAGTCCGAGCAGTCGCTCGCCCTCTCTGTCTTCAATGCACCGGCGGTTCGAAGAGCTGCACGTCTCCATCAATGAGGACGACGAGCCGCAAGACATGATGATTGGCAACAGGAGTCGGAGTTTCTCCAAGACGTTGGTCACCGCGCCCTCAAACAACTCGACGGTCACTGACGACCAGATGAATGATATGGCAAACACTGAGACCACGACCAACACCGGGACCACTACTACTACCAACACTACTACCAATTCGACCGATTTTGAGGACAAACGGTTTAATTCGCAGAAAGCGGATCCCCTGGTGATGGACGCCGACGGCCGCATAGAGTCGTACGTGGCTTTCGATGACTTTTCGGCCGCCGTAGAGGTGGCCAAAAGCAACGGCACTTTTGAAGAGTTTGTTATCATGTGTGACAGATAATGGATCGGATGAGCTGAACGAGTGGACATTCTCCCAAACTTGGAGTTCGGACACGTGTTGTGTTCGTTAATATTAATTGTAAAATATATTTAATGGATACTTACATGATATGAGATATGCTTTCCCTACTATTTCTCTATCTATGCGACAAATCTTTACGTACAATAATTGAAATCTATTTTGTTTTTAAGATTTAATTATAATTAATAATTAATTTGTCAACAATTTCTTGAATTGTTTTGTTTGTCTTCGTGTCTGTTCCACGAGTCGATTGGATGGACAGACATGATGGCAGACGGAGCCAAAAGCCCAACACTTTTGATGCAAAAGTTACCATTTTTTTCAATTAATTGATTATTAATTGTATTTAAATTCATGATTACAAACATATATGAATTCAAATTTATATTTTGAATTAATTTGTAAAAAACAGATTTATTTTCTTTATATTTTAATAATTATTCTTTTTAATCATTGTTTAACGAAACAAATGTTTATTTAGTTCTTCAATTGTTATTTGCATTTGTTTTCATTTTCATGGCTTTTGTAAATCGATTTAACGATTAAATTATTTTAAAATATTTTTTAATTATTACTTTTAGTTTAAGTTTTAATTAATTAGTTATTATTAAATGTTAAAAATGCGAATTTGAGTTAAATTTTGCAAAATTTAAAGTATTTGTAAA